TGTGCTGTGCTCTTTCATTAGTGGGGAATTGGGAGGGGGAATAGTAAGGAGTAGAATGTGTTGTTGTCAAAATAAAAAAATCCTTTCTAGAAGCCCAAGGTGATCTTTTGCTCTCTACACCTCTGAGCCTGACCGGAACTGGATGGGTGGAACTGCCAGCATAGCAGTGGAAGATTGGACCATGTGATGAACTTGTGGGTGTGGGGGCAAGATCATGAACTTTCAACCGGGTGGGAACCCCGGGAAGCTTTCAGATTCAGGTTTCCACAGATGTACCAACATCTCTCTCTTAATAAATTGGAACTTTGAGGAAAGCTCTGCCTTGGACTCTGATTTAATTTTGGATGATATTTGGAATGCTGACATTAACCCGAATCTCCCATGAAATATTTCACCAGCAACCCCTAAACGGGGTGCTGGTGAGGGGTGCTGACTCCCAACACTGACCTGACCCAGTCAGCATAAAATATCAGTGAAGAATCAAGATAGAGCCTTTTGAGAAAAGAAGCTAATGATGAGTTGCTTCTCTGCAAATCTTCCAAACTGCAAAGGAATTTGTGGGGGAGGAAATTTGAAGATTTATAGCATCTGGAAAGATGCAGCCTGAGGGGATTGGAAAGGTTAATTCTACACATGGCTGGAGAGGGCAAGAACATTCACCCAGTAGCCAACAAGATGATTGGAGCCTCCCAGACCAACTTGTGCAGCCAAACGTGAGTGAAAGTTCCCCCTCCTTTCCCAGCAAAGGCTCAAAAATATTCTGGACTGGAGACAATTACTCCTTTCATACAGTGACAAATGAAATGACCCATTACCCTGCAGTTGGTCCCCTATCAACATGAGGAATTCAACCCAGCCAGCCGGAAGGGATTTGGCCAACATCTCTCACTAGTCAGCCATCGATGTTTGGGCTGCAGCCTGTGAATCAAGCACCACCAAATCGGGCTTTCTTCCCAGGTCATGGATGGGAGATATGTCTGTGGCTGCCTGCTTGGCCACCAACATGGGGAATTCATCCAAGCCAGCAACCAATCTTTGGCCTGCAACCTGTGAATCAAGCAACCCTGGAATGTGCTTTCTTCCCAGGTCATGGATGGGAGAGATGCTAGTGGGCATCTGCTCTCCCTTAGCAGATGGCACCATGTCAGATAACTGGGCAGTGGCCAACCCAGGGATTGAACCCCCCGCTGAGTCCAGTCTCACCTGCAATGCCCCAACAGGTTCTTACCCCACCTTCCGACAGAGAAATGTTCTCGACAATGGAAGAAGGGATGAATGAGGAGGAAACTGCAGGATGGATAGTGGAACAATGTGATGAGGCGGTTCCTAAGTTTAGAGATGTAACTGGATTCCTTCCCTCGTGGGGGCCAACAAAATGCCACCGTTGCTGTCAACGTGGCCACAAAGCGTCAGAGTGCTTGGCTCCAGACCCAATGCTACAAACGTGCACACCTACTGCCAGTGCGGTAAAGAGAAGGCCCCAGAAGCCACCACAAAATAGTCATTTGGGCCAACAACCTCAGAAAGCGGATCCCCAACCTAAGGTGATGAAAAGTCCAACCAATGGGGAGACCTCAGAGGAGGGAAATGCTGAAGATGACCCAATGGTAGGTGCACCCATCTGCCCCTTTACTATAAAATGCAACCTCCAAGTGCCAGAATGGGAGTTGAGGGGGAAGTTGGGGCAATTGTGGACACTGGCTGCATCTGATGCTTAATCAGCATGTCGATTGTGGAGCAGCTGGGCATATGCACAAGACCCCTAAACCATCCCATTTGGTTTGAGCAAGTGGATGGAACACTGATGGGGGGCGGGGCAGCCACGAAAATTACTGAGTTGGTAAAGTTAATGATAGGCCGCCACTATGAATTCTGGTGGAGGCAAAAGGCCACCCAGGAACGATAGAACCCAACAGCCAAGACCGTCCAGAACCTGCAGCACCTGCAGCAGATACAAAACCCCCAGGGATCCAACAAGTACCAAAAGACTACTGGGACTTGGTGGAGGTGTTCAGTGAGGAAGATGTCAACTATCTCCCTCCTCACCGGCCCACAGATTGCGCAATAGACTTCAAACCTGGGGCTACCTTACCAAAGCCAAAAATGTACTCTATGACTCCCAAAGAGATGGTTGAATTGAGAAAGTACATCAACACCAATTTGAAACGGGGCTTTCTTTTTTTTTTTTTTTTACATTTTTTTTTTACAATTTTTTTTTATTAAACAACACACACAAAAAATAACCATCTTACATTACATCTTGTAAAAAGTGTGTCGTTCTGGTTTGGGCGTTGTCTGTGGGAGCTGTTTCGTTTTTAGCAGCTCCGGACCCGAGGCTGTGTTAAGCTGTCTAAACAGCATCCATCAGCTGTTTGACAGATTGATNATCAGATGAAGGAAAGCTACCTGATATCAAGCTAAGCAAGTTATGCTTCCTTTTTCTGGTTATTTGGCTATAACGTTTCATAGAATACAGATAATTGAACAAACTTTGTTGCATTACATTCTTCATTAAATTATCTTTCCATTGATATATAATGTTATGGTACTACTCCAAACAAAAGTGGTGTTATTAGCCATCAAACCTCAACAATACACTTTTCCCAAAAGGTTTCCACAATTTTGGCCACTACTGTAATTGTAATATTTCTAAGCTATTGCCATATTGACAATGGTGCTCTGCAGCTTTGGACCTAGATAGTAGGTCCATTTCAGTCTGTTTGATTGCAATGCTTGTTCTGCATATCTCCATCATAATTCAGCTCCCAGTGCTGCAAAAGCAGAAAACAATTTCATGTAACATTTTCTGTGACCATCATGAGTAGCCTGCAGGAAGTAAATTATGTGATCCCTGTTTGCACACAACTCTGGTCTTTTGGATGAACATAGCTTCCAATGCCGTGTTTTCTCAACCTTGGAAACTTTAAGATTTGTGGACTTCAACTCCCAACTCTCAGCAGGGTTAACTAGGGAATTCTGAGAGTTGAAGTCCACACATGTTAAAGTTGCCAAGGTTGAGAAAACACTACTCCAGTGACACAAGACTGGCCTTTCCATTCTATAACAACTTTTGGCTGGTCAGGATCAACCTTAACACTTTTTGGGAACGATGTCAATAGGTAGGGATATTTTCCCCTGGTGGGGTGAGTGGCTGAACATTCTTCATATTTTGAACCAAATTAAATTACACTGTAGCGGCGTTTCATGGTGTTTCCTTTCTTAAAAAATGGCTTGGTTTAGATAAGGCAGTGGCAGTAGAGGCAGACCACGTTTGGTCCTCTGGATGTCCACATTTGGACCAGATCAACAGTGTGAAATTGATTAGGCCTCCACTCTTAGG